AATAGCAAAATCCGCGGGGGATTTAAATATCCCCCGCGGAATTTGCATTAAACATGGCTGCGCTTTTTTCTGGCTTGGGGATAAGCCGGAGAAAAGCGAAGTAGGAATAAGAGATCCTCCGGAAAAGGGCTTATTTTCCGGAGAATCACGCCTAGACTGGCGCTTTTCTCCGGCTTATCCCCAAGCCGGAAAAAAGCGGCAGCCATGTTAATGCAAATTCCGCGGGGGATATTTAAATCCCCCGCGGATTTTGCTATTCCGAAGTGTCTAATCTGCATCCCTTTTCCGGAAAAGGGGTGCAGTGTAGACACAGCCAGACTGTGAATGGCTTGCTAACTACAAAAGCAGTGTCTGCTCTCTTTCACACCTCCAGATCAGCTACTAGAAGTGGGCCTCATCCTCCTTGATTGGATCCACCTCGTCATCTCCAGCCTGATTCTGGCCTGCATATTTATACCTGCCTCTGGAAATTTCCACTACATGCATCTGACGAAATGGGTCTTTGCCCACGAAAGCTTATGCTCCTACACTGCAGTTAGTCTATAAGGTGCCACAGGACTCCTCGCAGCTTCTATTTTATGTTTTTCTTTCATTGTAAAAGGAACGGGGGCCTGGCACAGTTGGATAGTACTAGTTTTATCCATAGTAATTTGGAGCCAAAACCTCAGCAAAGGCTGAGAAGCATACAGAGCAAGTCAAGGGGTGAGGAGAGATGTGGGTGCAAGGCCTTACCTTCATGCTCCTAGGATCCTTAAGCCGCTACTGGCAAGTCCGCAGGCATTAGTTAGAACAACTTGAGGGAGCACAAAAGATTGAAACGATGGCCAGGATTCAGTATGGCCTAGGGCTCTCTTGACCAAATTCCTTAGCTGGCAGGAAGGCGGGCAGCATATAAGCCTCTATTCTGCCATATGGCTGTGTTTTGACTGGGCTGAGCCTCTTAAGGCCAAAACACTGATTCTGCTACTATGTTCCGAAGTCAGCAAAGTGGTCTCACCATGGATTTGGCAGCTAGACTCAAATCAGAATCAGAACATGAACAAAACTGGTGGTCAACCATGTATTAATCTAGTTTCTCTGGGAAGTTTACTCAGATATGACCCAATGGACATTGAGGTCAATGGGGGATCTTTCCATTGACTCCAGAGGGATTTGGATCAGCTCCTCACATTTAGCAGTGTTAGAGGCCAGGACTGAAGTGTTTTGGCAAAGCTGTGGGGAGAACTTGCACGGTATCATATCTAGGTCTTAACCACTATCAGTCCATCTCCTAGCAGTACAAGAAATCTCCAAAAATGTGGGAAGGGAAAAGCACACTTTATTCATGATGTAATGATTATTTTTAACACAGCGGTTCCCATGGATGAGTGCCCCCATTCAAGTTGGATTAGTTGGAGTCTGGTGAGTGAGTTTCTTTAGATAATTTGTCTACTGTTTTTAACAGGTGTGGCCATAGCTTCCTGGAAAGATGTAAAAAGGCACAATTTGCAAATGTTTAAAAAAAAATCAAGGCTGCATGTTTTTTGGGCAGGAAAGCCAATGAGCATCAGAAGTGATGCATTCTTTCTGTGACATGAGGGGTTAATGAGATTATATTGTTTACGTCTGCTCATTCTATGTCAGACTACCTGGTAGGTTTTTTTAAAAATGAATCAGGCATTCCTTGCTACCATTGCTTCTTTTATGGCAGCCATCAGCATGGAGAGATTACAAATGTAGATATAACTAGCAAAAAAAAGAAGGGGGAGAGGGTGATGGTGGTAGCTGAGGCCAACGATTGATTAAAATAAGATCTTTTGACACCTGCTGAGACAGGTGAAAATGTAGAACCTCTTCCTGCCATGTGAATACCCTCAACTAACATCGAAGTCAATGAGGGGCTTGATTCTTCACTAACGAACCTCTTGTGCATTGCTTACTTCTATGCAAAGTGGATGTGAAATGTCACCAAATCAGATTTCCACCGCTTCATATGAGTGGTAGGGCTTTGCGCTTTCTTTGTACTTTGCATGGGTGTAAGTGACTACCTATGGTGCAAGGCAATGGAGAATTGGCTTCACTAATCATATCCCAGGGCAGGGTCTTACCATCCTTGAGAAGAAAAGAGAATAAATTGATTGACTTGTGTATCTACTAAGGTCTTTTGGAAAAGAAGGATTCTACCCTAAATATTATTTTTTGTCTTTTCTAGTTTGGTGTTTGCTACTCCTCTATGCTGTGCACTGTTTCCTCAAAAAAGGTACATGTGGGTTTTATTATTCTTCCTTTAAACGTACAGTCTAAATTCACATATGAGGAGTGTGAGTCATATACATGAGGGAGGAAGGAAAATGTACTTGCCACAGTTACTCAGTAAGTATGAATATATTTGGGGAGTGGGATTTAACTTCTGATCGTCTGGGTGTGTCAGAAATGAGTTTTAGGAGGTATTTGAATGAACAGTTCCTGCTATGGGGCAGCACAGAAGAAGATACAGAAACGGGAGCAGAAGGAACAGAAACAAGATGTTAAGATGGCCATCGATGAAAGAGAGAGAATGGGGTGAATGCAAAAAGGGACCAGTTGAATTTATAGATTGGGGTTGAATAACATGGGGTCTTGAAGTCTTTGAAATCACACAGGCACCTAAGCAGACTTAAGATTAAGGTCAGCTCAAATGCAATAAATTGTGTAAACTTGATGTAAAAACTCTGCTGATGTGTATTCTTTCTTTTTGACATTAATGGAAGTCATGATGATTGCATCAAGTGGAAAAAATACTTGATGTGATTTAAATGTTGCAACAGGAGGTTCATTGATTAACAAAGTTGGTGGGTGAGTGTGCTGCACTGTTCGCTTTGGGAAACCCTGGAACTCATTCTCATCTCATTACATAATTTGTACTCTGGTGTAACTCCCTTGATTCCAACAATGCAGTTAGACATTGTTTGCCCTCCTGGCTAAGAGTCCAGAAAGCTGCAATAGCAAGGAACACGGCAGGGCTATGTTGAGTTAGATAGGCACAGTTGTACTGACAAGTCAGTGTCATGAGCACTGCACTATTCCTGAGGCAGATCAGTATGTCTACAAATATTCACCTTCATGTGGATTAGCTGACTCATTCATTTTATAAGGAAATTAATCTTTTAAATGTATTAGAAATTGCAGCTGTTACATGACTTCTCAGATGAATTTACTTTATAGATAAGAAATAAATGTTCCTTCTACAGAGTAAGTTCTTTTTTTTTTCAATAGCATAAAGTAGTGAAAAACAGCCAAATACAAAGTCTCTTAAAAGGGCATAGTTTTTATCTTCCAGCACTAAATTTACATTAAAACCCAACCATCCAGGAGGAAGTCCAAGATACCAGTGTAGCAGCTAGTTCTTGAATAGGCAAAACATCTCATTATCAATCAAGTTATTTTGCTTCTGATCTAAGAACATAATATTAGGAAAAAAGCCAGAATCTCCTAATCCGAAAAGCCTTGATCATCTTTTTTACTTTAGGTCTAAACATTTTTATGTGTACTCATTTTGCTATCTTTCTTTTGTTCAGTTCCATGTCTGTAACACGCTTGGAGCCAGAATTGCGAGCCAAGATTCAAGAGTGCAGCCCTGATTTAGAACGTGTGTACTTTAATAAAGGGTTATAATTCAAGGAAGGTAGAATGCCCTTTGAGGAGAATCTTGTGAGCTCCTTTTTTAATTGTGTGCCAGCGTTGATGAAGACACCTCTATTTTGACCTTTCCTTTTATTGTTAAACAATTTTGACCATCCACGTTATTTTATATAAATATATTTTAAAAAATTATGATAAAATTATCTTATATCACAAACTCATTACTGTTGTATTGCCCAATTTGTAGCCGTCAGTTTTTTAACTGAAAGTTTAATCGCACATATCCAAAAATGTTTATATTAGCTTGTAAGCAGCTAAAGACAAAACTTTGCTAAAAGAAAAATATCAAACGCACAAAGAAAATCAGATGGTATTTTCTAAGGGTCCATAGCTGTTCTGGGGCTGCCAACTTTAGTTGGACCAATTCTTTGAAATTTCATCACATGGCATAATCTGTAATTGAAGATTGACCTTTAATTCTTGGAGACTCCAGGGCAATCCTGGAAGGTTGGCAACCATACCTATTTCATTCAGGGTACGTCTAAACTACATGGCTCCGTCGACGGAGCCATGTAGATTTGTTGTTTTGGCAAAGGCAAATGAAGCCGCGATTTAAATGATCGCGGCTTCATTTAAATTTACATGGCTGCCGTGCTGAGCCGACAAACAGCTGATCAGCTGTTTGTCGGCTCAGCACGGCAGCCATGTAAATTTAAATGAAGCCGCGATCATTTAAATCGCGGCTTCATTTGCCTTTGCCAAAACAACAAATCTACATGGCTCCGTCGACGGAGCCATGTAGATTTGTTGTTTTGGCAAAGGCAAATGAAGCCGCGATTTAAATGATCGCGGCTTCATTTAAATTTACATGGCTGCCGTGCTGAGCCGACAAACAGCTGATCAGCTGTTTGTCGGCTCAGCACGGCAGCCATGTAAATTTAAATGAAGCCGCGATCATTTAAATCGCGGCTTCATTTGCCTTTGCCTATGTGTCTTATCTACATGCCTCTGGCGACAGAGGCATGTAGTCTAGACACAGCCTCAGAGTGCAAAAAGGAACCCAGATGTTCATTTTGTTCTCAGCATAGGTCAAATCTTTTTGTAAATACCTTTGATCCCATGCTTCAAGTTGTGACCACAGATCCTTTTCTTCAGGCCCTACCTGTTCAGTCTTATCCTAAGAAGATTAATAACTCCAAAGAACAATTATATTGTGTCAATGCCCTGTTTGCCTTATTCATCATTTCTATTAACAGCCATAGCTAATTTTATTTTGCCTTATTTTCTTATGTCATATAGTCTTCAGACTTTATGGAGTGTTGCTAAGATTTCTTTTTTTACTGCATTCAGCACATACTGTTCTGTTGGGTTAAGTCCTTTAAGAGCTTTTATTTTCTAAGGCTACGTCTAGACTGCAAGCCTCTTTTGAAAGAGGCTTTTTCGAAAAAGAGCATCTAGACTACAACCAGTACTTTCAAAAAAGCAAGCCGCTTTTTCGAAAGAGAGCACCCAAGCAGTCTGGATGCTCTCTTTCGAAAAAGACGCGGCGGCAGTGTAGACAGAGGGGAAGTTTTTTTGAAAAAAGGCCACTTTTTCCTTCCTCATAAAACAAGGTGTTCTTTCGATTTATTTTCGAAAGAACGCGGCGGCAGTGTAGACAGAGGGGAAGTTTTTTTGAAAAAAGGCCACTTTTTTCAAAAAAACCTGTAGTCTAGACACACCCTGAGTGATCAAAATTGCAGCAGTACAATCTGCGTAATCTTTTTTCATATGATGGGTGTTTCACCAATCTCTCTGTTCCTGGAAAAGCATATAAGAAACATATTGTATGATGCTGTTTTAATCAATTACTGCGCAAAGTAGACCTGAACACTTTTTGTTACATTTCACCAAATTGTCGGTGTATTCAATATACACCCCATTGTATAACTGAGGCCCACCTATATTAAATAGCGAGTATATTTAATGATATCTTGGAGAGCTCAAACTTATCCAAATTCTCCACTGGGACATATTAGTGCAACTCCTCTGACTCTGTGCCAGTTATGCACCAACAGAAAAATTTTATTCCACATTTGTAGATGTTTAAAGTAATATACAAAATGATTAATGAGTGTTTTATTGACAGTATGTTGTTATGCAGCAGCTATATAATATAGCTAATATCTGGACATTTAGGCTATGTCTAGACTTCATTCTTCTGTCGACAGAGGGATGCAAATCAAGCACATCGAAATTGCTAATGAAGCAGGGATTTAAATATCCCATGCCTCATTAACATAAATATGGCCACCGCTTTTTTCAAAACGGATTTTTTTCAGAAAAAAATGGCAATCTAGATGCGAATCTATCAAAAATAAATCCTTTTTCGACAAATCCTGTATTCCTCAAAAAATGAGGCGCAGGATATTTAAATCCCTGCTTCATTATTAATTTCGATGTGCCTAATCTACATCTCTCTGTCGACAGAGAGGTGTAGTCTAGATACACCCTTAGAGAACAGTCTAATGGCAGATATTGCTTGACTGTGATTGGAGTGGATTTTATCATAAAGCAAAGATTTGCTTGGTGGCTTGTTACGTTTATGTTTGATCTAAAAGGATGACCAAATCTGAAGCTTTAGTCTCCTTGGAAGCTTCTGAGCCTTACCTGCATTTCTTCCATAATTTCCTAACCCCACATTTTTGTCTTAACCTTTCTAGTTGGGAGTGAGCTGGTTTCCGTAGGGAATTCTGACTCTAGATATATTTTATTGCAATAAATAGTTCTGCATGAGAAGATATGAAAAATGTAAATTCCAAAAGATTTGTGTTTTGCTCGAATGCTTTAGAAATACATGTAGAAGTGTATACATGCCTGCAAAGTATGCAGGAAGGAAGTTATTTAATGGTTAATATCTCTTATTTATGGGAACTTGACTTGATTTTAAATATGCCATTTCTCCAATCATTGATATTTGAACATTTGCAATCAGAGATATTTTATGTGAATTCATTTATACAGTTTTGAACATTCTGATTCATGCTAATGAATAGTTTGTTCTATATACATGATATAGCTTAGTTTGAAGAATACTATTGACATATTTCAATAAAATAAAAGAGATTCTTCAGTGACCAAAATATAGATCTGAGGAGAAAAAAAATCATGGGTATATATTTTTTGTTAACTTTCTTTTTTCAAAATTCAGTCTATTAATGCTTTTCTACAGAACTAATATCTGTACAGTTTCATGATATTAATAAGCAGAACAAAACAGTATGAAGATCAGATAATTTATTCTGATCTTATAGAAATAGAATGTTTTTAAAAAATATTTCCAAGTAAAGTGCAATAAACTCTTACTTAAATTTAGAAAAACAGAATACTTATATTTCCACTTGAGGAATATAATTATCCGTGATGGAGTGACTGACTACATTTTTAATTTAAGTATTATCACAGTGTCTTGCCAGTGTTGATGGAGTTAATGTTCTATTTAAAGTAAAGTAGATAAAGAATTAAATAAACTCAGACTGAAATGAACTGATTTTTTCTTTTACTGTATTGTCTTCTAGGTATAGATTTTTATACACTGAATTTCATGGTGCATTTAACTCTAGCTCATCATCTTTTGCACCTCAGAGTCTTTGAGTGCTGATGTCTGAAAACAGATAATACAGCAATCAATAAAGCTTTTTATGCATAGCTGTTTAAAGGTTCCTTGAACAGACTTAGGTAGATACAACTCTAATATACATTTGTCATAGAAAAACATCTGAATATTGGTATTGAAAGTATTTGGACTTAGATGTTTCTTTAACTAATATTTAAAAACAAATATGCTTGTGTAATGTTAAATAATAAAAGCACATGGGGAAGAGGGTTCAAATGGCAGATAGGCACCCAACTCCTGGTGAAAGTCAGTGGAAACTGGGTGCACAACTCCCAACTATGCCATTGAAATTCAGTGTCAGTCTTAGACATTCATTCCCTGGCTATCAACCCTCTACATGTACATAAGAACATTTTATACCAACAGTATTTGCACCAAAAAAGCCCACATATTTACTAGTCCCATGTTGGAGGTTCTACATTTTCAAGTGACACACTGAATTACATTTTTGTGACTTTCAGTATACAGCAGCAGACTCTGCATAACAATGTATTCATTTGGCATGTTTGCTGATATATCTAGGCTTTTCCTCCCTCAATCTGTCACATTCAATCATGTGCAACAAATTTTGCCCCAGGAAAATGTATCTCTGAGTACCAAGAAATGAAGTCAAATTTAGGGCACTAGAAGTCATCTGCAGTACTAAACCAAAAGTTCCTGTCTGCATGATTCTACCCAGATGTGCTACTTTGGTTGCTTAGGATTTTTATCTTCCTTCATAGCATGGTACCTTCAGTAGGTAGACTTTGCAATTAATATGTCCGCCTAGGATGGATGGAGGGACTGCAGAATGTTATAGCCCAATCTGCAGTCCTTACTCAGACAAAATATCTGTGACTGGTGGCATTTCTATATCCTTTACATAAATGCCTATTTCAGAGACATACAATTGATTATCTACTAGTAGACACCAAGGAAAAGGAAGGTCCAACCATAACTTAGATGAAAATTCATGAATTTGTAATGACAACGCTTTTCTGATTGCATCTGCCCAGGCCCTGCACACATCTAGGGTATGTCTGTGGTGTGAGTAACTCCATCTCTATTGCAAACTTCCCCTTTTCCTAGTATTCTGAAGAAGCCTCTCCACAGAGCTATGGATGGTGAGGGAATGCAAAGGATAGAGGGACTGGAGTAGGTTTACCTCTGGAGTTCATGGTTTTACTTTTTACCTGGTGGTAGAGAAGAAAATGATTTTGCAAAGAGGTAGCAATTGTGTTTGTGTAACTGATGTACACAGATATTGTAGATAATGAATACAGATACCTCACCAGGGTGTGGCACCTCTCTGCTATAGGCAGTCTATAACACACATAACAAAACACTATCCCTGCCCCAAATATTTACACTCAAAATAAATGCTTATTCATGCAAGCGAGGATGGAAGAAAGCTCATCAGACCAGCAAGTCTGAACCTTTGTCAACAACTGCTATTCTGTGTGATGTGTACATTGTTTGTGTGCAATAGTGGTGGAAAGATCTGACGGAAGACATGGTCTTCCCTGCATCCATGGTGCCCTTTTAGAAGTGTGAGGGGGATGAACTCCCTCATTTGTATGAGAAAATTGCTGCCTATTCCCTTTTATCAGGGAACAAAAAGAAAGTGCACAGTTTGCTGCATTCTTCAGCCTGGACCTGCCCCAGTTGGGAGACATGTACCCCTCCCCAGGCTGTGCCTGCTAGAGCTGCAGAGGCCGTGGAGAGATGCTTCTCAGCTGGCCTTAAAATGTTGCAGGAAGAGAGGGCTGGGGCTGTCCTTTCTCCCATGGGTAACTTGTATACTGAATGCCTCATCCCTAGCCCTACTGCAGAACAATTATTTCAATGAAGCATAGACATTTTCATTTTATTTTCCAAAAAAACAAAAATTGAGTTAAGGCCCCAAGCAACACCAGATAAATCTTCTAGTAGTTTTATAATGGGTCCCTTTCTCTTTTGTGTGTTCTTT